TGAAGAATTTTAAGAATTTTTTTATAAGGATGTAAGAAAGTAAGCTCCAATGCCTTTTCAGTTTATACAATTGATTTCTGAAATTATATTAATAGTAATATAATATTATCAATTTATTTATAGCGACAAAAAAAAAATACTCACTCTATGGTGGTATTGACTACAATGAAGTGCAATAACATTCTCTTGTGCCTTACTAGGTTATTTTCTAACAAATTATATTGTTTGCGCAAATAAGTAACATATGCAATACAAATTTTTCGAATAGTTGATACTGTTCACATTTCTCCTTTAGCTAAAAATAAACATATATATAATATGAGAAACATAAATAAATAAATTATATATATAAATTAGCATAATAAATGAATTTCATGAATCCTATAAATCCTGTATATTAGATCTGTGCTAATTTGACAGTTTGTTATATATGTTTGTCACAATATAAGTGATAAATTCAAATTTATCATATGACAAATGCGAATTTATCACTTATATTGTGGTACAAGGTATGATATATTCGAATTTATTATATGACAAATTTAAATTTATCACATAGAGTGATTATATAAAGACATGACCTAAAATTAGACCCAATCCTGCTCAATCTGGGCCCAATCTGATGTTTCAGAGGCCAAACCTAATCTGATGGTTTGGATCTGCACAAATCTGAATTCGATTCGTGTTAACTTTTTCGAACACTATCCTTGAAGTTCATCTGGTTTTTGTGAAATTTGCTGATTGTCTAGTTAAATATTAATTAATATTCAGAATTCTTAAGCTAATAACTTTGTCAGTATCTATTAATTACTTACAATTAAGTTCTTCAGATTCTTTATTATTGGATAATAATTCTTCATTAGATAATTCCTCTTCATTTAGAGGTAAAGATGGTGTTAACCTTGACTCTATTATGTCATCATTGTCAATTTCTATATCTGAATTTGGTTCTTGATCCTCTTGGTCAGATTCATTATAATTATCTATATTTATATAAGATTCTATATATTTATCTTTATACAGTCTTTGTTTTTTTGGTAGCAACAACCCTATTGGTTTATATTAATAATATAATAAAACTAACAACTATTAATAAATAAAAATAATTAGTTGTTACTTGTGATTTTACAAGAATGTTCTTCATTTTCTCCAATGTCTATAAAAAAATATAAAAAAATATAAGAAATTAAGAACTAGGTTAAATAAAATATTTTTGAAATATAATTCTTACTATTATATTGAGAAGTCAGTAATTTTTTTTTTGCTACGTTTATTAGTTAATTGGCTTTCTGTATCTATTAGAAATAGACAAATATTTTATTATAATATAATATTAACTTGTATTAATATACAACAAAACTA